AGCACTTATTGAATGTTAAGAGAATTCCTGGAATAAAAGCCATTCTGGCATGTACTAGACTACTTTTAAAAATGCAGTTAATTTCCTCTGCAACGGCTTTTCTTAGAATTTTGAATTTAAACAATATTAACCTAAGTATTTTGTTGGGTTTTGTTGCTGTTGCCTACTTTTACAGATACCTTGCTCTTGTCCAGCCGTTTCACATAACCTACCTGAGAACATAATCCAAGACAATTTAAATCAATTTATTCTTAAGATGGCATCACTTATTCTGATGTTCCCTGTGTGGGTATACTCAAAAAGCAGGTGGTGTGGAAAGCTGTGCTTTTGATCTAATCTCACCTGGTGAGTTCTCAAAGTTCAGGGGACATGTCTTTGCTGCTGTTGAGGATACCATCTCTCTTTGCTTTGACATGTGTCCTTACAGGCAGACGGAGAGATGGATGGCTGAGTGAATTAAACAGAATTAAAGGCTGAAGCTGACCTGTGTACCATTCAAATCATTGCATCTCAAAATGTATTGCTATTACAGAGGCAGCTCCAAAACAATAAAGTTCAGCAAGACAGCCCCCATGTAGCAATTGTTATAATGACAGACTGCTATTTCTCCTTATCTGCTCTTGCTGCATGTAGTAACTGTTGTTCACAACTGGGACCTCATTGATCTTTCTGACCTGGCAGACCCTCATAGAATCATAGAATGTTTTCGATCAGAAGAGACCTTAAATATTATCTAGCTCCAAATCCCTGGAAATGGGCAGGGATGCCATTCACTAGATCAGGTTGCTCGGGGCCCCCAACCAACCTGGCCTTAAACACTTCCAGGAGTGTTTAAGGCACTCTGGGCAGCCTGCTCCAGTGTCTCACCACCCTCTGATTAAAAAATTCTTCCTCGCATCTAATATAAATCCTCTCTCTTTCTATTTAAAACCATTGCCTCTTGTCCTGACAATGGTTTTAAACTGAAAGAAATAAAATATTTGGCCATATTAAAAAATCCCTCTCCCTCCTTTTTTTAAGCCCCTGGAAGGTGACCCCTTGTCAGCTGTTGTCATTGCTCAATCATAGAAGGCCACCAGATTGGTCAGGCACAATCAAGAAAGCATTTTTGGGGTGAGTATCCCAATTGTCTCTAGCAGCACACTAGATTCCTCATTATTTAGCAGTCTCAGAGTATTCTTTTTTTGGGTGAAAAAAGACTAGAAAAAGTGCTCTAAGAGTTCAATGAATAGACCCCAACCTCTGTCGTATACTCAGTCATCAATCCACAGCCTCCAATAAATTCCTGAAGATGAGTATAATGTGTCATGTCCTAAACACCAAGTAGTTCACTCTATAGATTTTAATTACTCATTTGTAGTACTCATTTGATAACACAGACAAAATCTAAAGGAGTTAATTTTAGGGTTTTTTTTATTCCAGCCTTTCTTCTTCCTCTCCCATTCAATTGAATTGCATCAAGATTTTTGATAGAATTAATTCTAATTGCAGAGAACAAGAAAATGAGAGAAAATGTGTAACAGTAGAGAAGTTGAATATTTTAATGTCAGAAAAGCTTGATGATGTTCCTTGCTGAGGACTTCAGGTATTAGTAAAACCAGTCTCTGAAGTATGATTCATTATTTTTCGGACCTTTTGAAGCACATAAGACCCCCAGTAGCTTGAAAGAAAACAGAGGGACTAGGAGAAAACCAGGATGTAAAGGATTTGGGGGATTCAGTCTAGTCCACACTTTCTCAGATGTCATCAGAGGATTGTTTAATTCCACATCAGTCATCAGAGGATTGTTTAATTGTTAAAACATCAGAAGCTTTAACGCAGAAAAGTTTGAAGACAAGTAAAAAGACACTTTGGTACATAGAAGAAAAACAACAAACATCAGTAGCCAGCAAGCTTAACAAATTACTAAGCTCTGAGGGTGGTAAGAGAAACCCTGTGTCTATTTTTCAAGAACAAATTATAACAAATCAATCTAATTTCCTTCTTTGATTGAAGTCACTTGATAAGAAATAAATAGAAACAAAATAACTTGAATTATACAAAATGCCAGCAAACCAACTAGGAAAGACGTTGTCAATTAGACTACACCCACAATGAAAGAATAGTTTAAAAAAACTGTGCTAAGAAGGTGATTATCACTGATCTACTGTCAGACTATAAAAATATCAGGAGACTAAGCAGATCATGTCCTGCATAAATGCTTGCAAGAATCATCACTAATTGTACAAGTGCTGGAAAACGCTGCAGGATTCATGACACAAATAAGAGGAAAATGTCTTTCACTGGAAGAACTCTGTGCCACACATTCCCAAATTGAGAACTGAGGCGTTGCTCTGTCTTATCCTGCTACCACATGAAATCTGCAAGTCCTAGAGAATCTGACACAGAAAAAGGAGATCAGGGAGTTTGAAATCACTATTCATAGTTCAAAGCCAAAGTTTTGCACAGAAAATAAATCACAAAACAATTTTCATGGTGTTATTGCAACCATAGCAGCCATGGGGAATACCCGAGATAAACTTTATGAGTGAAAGAAATATCTTAATTAAGCTCTGGAAGACAGCTGCAAAATGGTAATATTTCAATCTGTAAGCATTTGTTCAGATCTGAAAAGTTTTCCTACTTTTCCCAGCTGTATAAATTGTCTATTAGAAGTATGATCTCCACCTACAAGTCTTGTCATTCAAAATAATTTCATTAACAGTTTACACACAAGGCAGCTTATCAAGTATTACCAAAATGTGGCTGTGCTAAGTGCACATTTGTCAGCTCACTGTTCCTGTCTGGAATGTGTCACATTTGTTTCTGAATTACAACCATGACTTTACAGATTTCTCTTTTCTTTTTTTTCCCTTGCCTGGCCTTTTGAATCAGAGCAGATCACTAATGAAATGATATTTAGCACTTATAGCAATGATAAAAGAGTCTTTTAAAACAGTCTTGATGTTTCTCTCTTTTGCCTGTCATACCACCATTCTAAAGTCTCTCTGTTGCTGAGATCATAGTAGTGAAATGGAACCACAGAAGCACAACTGCATGAAATTATCCTAACAGGAAGGCCAACAGGACATTGAATTTCCTCTTGTGTGGGACTCTAATAAAATAATTTACAGTTCAGCATTTTTCTCACCTTCTCCATATTGTTTTAATTCTCCTTCTTGGATAATAAAATTGATGTATTTCAGGGAAATTTAGGAAAGTATTAAAACTTTTTATTTACCAGTTACTAAATTTTCTGTGTTAATGGAAGTCCATAATGGAATATGCTAGATCTACCTCTTTAATGTTTTGGAGCACCTTATCTGGATTTTGTTGTTTCACAGAATAAGCAGTTCATTGGAAAATAAAAACAGGGAGGGAGGAAGGAAGATATTGCAATTCAGCTGGATTTTAAAGAGCTCTAAAAGCTGAAAAGTAAGTGAAATAGTATGTCTCTCAGTTGAAGTAGTATTGATGGAGAAAATCTGGATTTGAAGGAAGAATGTCATAGTGAGTCTAAAGGAGAACTAGAAGGCTATGAAAAGGCAAAAGAGTGTTGAAATCAAACTGGAACACCAAGTCCATTTTCTGATGATAGTATGTATTTTCTGTGCTATTTTGCCACTATTTCATCATATATAAGCTGCCAAAAAACTATAATTTCAAAAAGTTTCTTTCAGGATGCCTACTTGCACTCTGGTGCATAGTAGTTACATACAGATAAGGCATATGCCCATACCTTCAGATAAATTTTTTTTATTATTGATTTTGCACTAAACATTTGTTTAAAATGCAGCATTTCTGATCAGAGTTGTTAACATTGCACAGCAACTACCATCCAGTTCAGCATTTCGAGCTTTTATAGTATTTGAACTTACAGCAATAGTTTGAGGGTGCAAATACTCAGTCATTAAATCAGAGTATTATAGCTGAAACTTTCCAAACCAGCAGGAAGCCAGCCCTGACTGTACTCCAGGGCACTGTCAGCCAGAAATTTCTTCCAGAAAATTTAATGTCAAAACTTTGGCATTTAATATTTTATCACCTGCTGCATACATTATGATGGCTATTTAATCCCATCGTCCAGTCTAAAACACTGCATGCATGAGCAAGCTGGATGCCTGAGTGAAACTGGATAGCTTATGAGTTGGTAATGGTATGATATATGCCCCATTCCCTATCCAGAAAAAGCACTTAACAGACTTCTTGCATTTTAAGGATGTAGATAGTTTCACAGAAATCAGTGTAGGCATGCAGCTATGTGACTTGCCATTCTGGGGCCCAAACCTTCTGTCCAAATGCCAGTACCATCTGGAGGTAAATTCACAGTACAGTCAACTTAAAGATACCTACAAAGGTAGAAAAGAGAGAGGAGACATCTATGCACAGTTTGTAGCAGGTGTCTGGAAATAGTTGCAGGCATAATTAAAACTCCAGAGGTGATCTTGCTGAAAAATACAATAGGAGGGCTATCCTTGCCTTCAGAAATATTTCCTGGGGTTGGATTTCAAAGGGTTGAGTTTGTACCCATATTTGTATTTGGCTAGGGTCTCCTATCAGGGCCATGATGCTGTAGAGCAGCGGTGCCTCCTGTTCCTTGTGCTCTCTGTCAGCTTCCTCTTGCACTGAAAGAAATTCACTCACCCGAGTGGCTCTTTAAAAGAGAATAGCACCATCCAAATCAACATGAATCTCAGTAATGGGGCAATTTTCTCTATGTCTGTGTATGCAATATGTTTGCACACAGATTTTGTGGGGGAACTTTCCACACAGCTAAGTGTATTATGTAAATCTAGAAGTGTGTTTACTGCCCAGTAATTCAGCTAAAAATGTGCAATGACAAATCATTTAACCATTAAGTTGAATTAATCACCAAGACCTGTAGGTACACTAGAGGAGATGCCTGATACTGAAAGAAACTCCAGTTTTGTCCTTATGCAGAATGACTTCTTACTGCTAAACCTTTACTACATTGCTAACAATGACCCAAGCCTTTTCCTGGTGGTAAATAAAAAAATAATAACTTTTTCTCTCTGACTGGTTTGATGTGAGATAATAAAACATATTCCTTAATTAAGTGTCTCACCTTAAAAATTGAAAAGAAACAGCTCTGAAGGGCATAAGAGAACCATGTGAATTATTAGAGCTAATAGGTTCAGTCTCAGCTTAAACTTCAAATTTATCAATATGTCCATTTTGTACAGTGTTCTATGTAACAGGAGGATATAAAGGCTAATATGCTTGTTTAGGTCATTTGGGCTGAAAAGTAAAATATAATAAAAGCTTTAGTAGAAGAATTTCTAATATGTTCTTCAAGAGAAAAGTTTTAATTTCTTCCTTTTTATCTATTTTAAATATACTGTACTTGCAGCTCTGATTCTATAAGATACCTATGAACTTGCTTCTGCCTATTCAGCTTCTGCCAGCTGGTCTGGATTTAGGAATATGTTTGAATATTTTGGCAGGACTATCTTCTAGTCTCTTGCAGAGAAAAAGAGAATACCATAGCTATTTCTCTCCCTATTTTGCAAATCACTCCTTGAAGACAATGAAACTTTATCTTGGCTTTGTGATATGAGGCACTTCTTTGTCTCTTGCATGGTTTGAGATGTGGAGGAGCTTTGCAGCCCCAGCTAAGAGAGAACAACCAGGACACTTAAACTTGCACCCATCAGTTCAACAAATGAGTTGGATGAAGATGAAATTTGAGCAAAAATACGCCTCACAAGATTTCAAACCATTTGTGTGACTAAAGACAGAGGATCAAAGTAGAAGTTATGCCTGTGAGCCTGGACTTCCTGATTCCTTCATGTACAAACACCTCAGAAAAAGATAACTTTGAAATTGGCAGGGAATAAAAAGTGATGCACATGTGGTGTAGAGAAAGGGGCACAAGACCAGCAATTTTAGATGTTCCAGGCAGAAAATCCTTCCCAGCACTCCCTCCAGACGCAGAGGGATGGTGAAGTGGGTTTGGGCTGGGAATATGGCAGTGGGCAGCAGTGCCAGCTCTTGGCTGGGAAGGACCTGGATTCTGGCACCTTTCCCTGGGCTCTGGGAAGAGAGAAGCAAGAAATTACTTCCCATTTTGTTTATCCATCTTCTTTTCAGCTTCAGCTCCTAGAATTTTTCTTCCTCTCCATTTCTGTGATTCAGAAATCATAGCAAAGGAATAGTCAAGCAATATGGCATGAATTGACTTATGGCCAGGTATATCAGCTTACTCACAAAATATTGTTGGTAATAGGAGGGAGCAAATAAGACAAAGTAGATGATGTATTTCTTCAGTATTAAAAGAATCAGAGCATGGTGTTCTTGAAGGCATTTTCACTAAGGAAGAGGGAAAATATGGAGAGAAAATAATTAATAACAAATGTGCTCATTTAAAATTGATGACAGGGTTTTTTCCATTTTTTTTATTAGTGGTATTTTTGATTGCTGCCATCCATTAAGCCAGAAGCAAAAGAGAACAAAACTAGCTTGAATAGTCACATAATCTGCTCTATTTAAATTAATTGGGATAAAATCATACAAAAAAAATTAAATCCCACTAAATCCCTGCTTTTAGCTAGAGGAAGAACTAACAATTGCTTCCTTAGGACGTAAGCCACTTTCTCTAAAGTTTATATATATATATATAGTCTAAAAATTCAGTAAGTATTAGTGACAGAAAATTGAGAGGAGAGAAAGGTCTGGCTCTTGTCAACACTGTTCTCTGTACCTTCTAATTTGTGTGGAGTTAAGATAGCAACTTAACTACATAAATAAAGACATAGTAGAGCTGTGCAAGCAGAAAGTGAAATTAATTTACTTTTTTTCAATGATATCTTGTACAAGAAATCTGTTAAGTTTTCAACTTCAACACTAATAAATTGTCAGCAACATCAGTGAAACAGTCTTGCAGTTTTTCCATTCATTTTTAGGGAGAGAAAGAAATTAATTGCTGAGTTGTAATCAGATATTTTTTTAATGTACACACTGCTTGGAATTTGTCTGCATTTCCTTGCAGCCACCACATTCACCAGAGCTTGCCTTTACTTTGGCAAGTACCACAAGCAGAGACAACTGGACTAAGGTGGGTGCCAAGCTGTAGCAGCACTGACTCTTCAGACATATTTACTATGCCTTTAGGCCCTCTGGATCATTTTAACAAGGTCTCTGATAGAACATATTGGGGAAAATTCATATGATTTTTCTATTTTAGCAGGAGCTCCTACTTTTCACTGTATTTTTACATCACAGAAGGTCTTTGTGTATTTGCCCAACTGCCTTCAGCACATAGCATAAAAACAGATGTTCTAGCAATCCTTTTTCTAAATTCCAGTGTTTCATTAGTGAATTCTGAAATACAAGTTTTTTAATAGATTCCTGTGGAAGCACATTTAATTCACTCTTAGTAAGACAACTAGCCATTTCCAGAGTCTCATCTATACAAAGAGAAAAGCAGCACAATATGCTTTTAGAAATTCTTTACAGATTCAGACAGATGTCATGAGTTTAGCCCCCAGTAAATGCATCATAAGGGAGACTGCTACTACAAGTTTCTTAGGATTCATATTTTGCAGTGAAGGATCCTTCATGTGAGCAAAACTTGCAGTCAACACACACGTTCCCTCCCTCTAAGTTTCCACCCTTTTTCTCACAAAAAATTAACCCAAATGAAAACATTTCAAAATATTGAGCATTTTCAGTGAGTCAGCTCAAAACTACCATAAAGTGAAAATCTCCTGTAGCTTGAGGAACTGCTCTGTTTTACCAGAACAGGTTCCAAAATTTAAGTAACTATTTTGTGTTGAAAAATACCATCTGTTTCTTGGAAAAGAAACAAATTGTAATGAAATTCACTGTGAATGCAAGATGAAACCAACAATAATGAGTAGTCTGGTGATAAGAACTCATTAAGTCAGTGAAAAACCCCTATTTTCAGACAATTCCTGTCTTCAAGATCTGTGGAATGGGCTCAAGTGATTGAGAAAGGGAATCTGCTTTTTCTATTTCATGTTTGAATACTATTTAAACACTTAATTCTTCCAAGGAGACCTGAATTTTTGTTTCAATACCTGAGATTCCCCTGGGTGTATGGAAAGCTGTCCTTAGCTTGCAGCCATTATTACACAGAAGACTTAAACCAGGGTGCCATCCCCAGTAAAAAGGGTGAGTAAACCAACAATAATGAGTTCTGGTAAAACATAAAAACAATTATGTAGTTTATTCTCAACTGCAGCTGAACAATATTTTGTGACTAAGCTGATATACCTGGCCATAAGTCAATTCATGCTATATTGCATGAATGATCCTATTTATATTTAAAGGTCTATTCAAGCCACTATTCAAAGTGAGTAACACTGGGAAATAATTGTTTGCTCCTAGGAAAGCTGCACACTATTTTGAACCAAACTACCATTTTTTATTTCACACCTCATCAACATGTAATTTAACATCCTGTATTAGATTTGTGGTGAAATGGGCAAGAAGATGTTGTCATCCTTCTGCTAACCTGTGAAAGCTAAGGAGGGGGAAATCAATGTCTGGCACAATTCATGTGATTTATTGTAGACATCTGTATAAAATGATATGAATCATACCCATTTACTGTATTTCCACTCAGTAGAGTCTAAGAGGTCCATTCAGATTAGACACATCCATCACAAATGCAGCATTTCATTAGATGAATCACACCTAATAAGTCAATTTATAAGTAGAACATATATAGACTACCCATATGTACTAAATATTATTTAAGTTGTTGCATTGTTAGCATTTAGGTGCTCCCTTGATGACATTAAAGTCAAAATAGAACAGAATACAGTTGATGATTTATACCAATTAAGCAGTTGTGATCACAGTGGTTATGATGATCCAACTGAAGCAAATTGTGGGTCCTGAAAAAATAAAATTATAAAAAAATACTTCTTATCTGTTTGAATTATTTGATTCTTGAAGGCTGGAGTTGGAATGTAGCCTGAGAAAGCAGATCTCATAGGATCTCATAATATCTCATCTCACTTTGTGAAATGTATTTCTCCATGCACATAAAAAAGACCAAAAACTGTTGAAGAATTTTCACAATACAAAACCTCTGCACTGAATAGCATAAAATAATTATTTAATGTAATTTTAATGTAAATTTAAAAAGTACATTTAAAATCTTTTGTATGTCACTACAAGTTTGGCTGAAGCAAGGTGCATGTAAGGGTGACAGAAGAGAGGGCATATATCAGTCTTTTTCACCTGGACACCCAGAGATACACAGGTACATTATAGTTGGTTATCTAATTGTAAAAAAGCTCAATTTTTAAGAGCTGATATTTTACAGTAGTATGTATCGTAATTTAAAATGACCTCTAAGGCACTCTGCTTAGAGATTAAGGACCTAACCCCAAAATAAGAGTTAGTTGTGCATTGACTAAGGATACATGCTTGATAAGGAAACACTAAACCACATGCTAAGCAGAAGTTTCAACACCACAGCTCACCTGAGAATCAGTTCACATTTTCTGCAAGTCTGATGTTGGGCACACTGAGCCTGTAAAAGACACCCCTTGTTTTTGCCTCCTCCCCATTGCAGCATCACAGCAGTGCATGTATTTATTGCTGCACCTGTGGTTTCAGCTTGCTTCAGAGCCCACAGGTGCTGCAGGGTTCTCTCCTTCAGCAGGTGGTGATGGTGAAGCACCACACCCAGACTTCTGAGCTGTTTGTACCATGGGGCACATGAGGCATAGCAGTACAGACTTGTGAGATAAGGCAAGTTACCCAAAGAAAGACACTTCAAAATCATCATTGGTGCTAATATATGCAACCAGTTGAAAAGTGTAAAATGGTGAAGTGAAAAGAAATCCTTCTGCTAATTCAGACCTTATGAAAAGCAAACTGTGTTCAGTGGCAGATGGAACAAATGTCAGAATAAGAGCTGATATGCACTGTGGATGATCATAAGACTTAGTGTTCCAAAAATAGCATGGGAAAATAGATATTGGAAAAGTCTTCTAAAATTATTTCCATGATTGCTTGAAATGAGCATTAAGATTTGAGCTGATTCTTGGGACCAATCTGTAAGATTTTTAAAAGTAAAAAAGTATTTATTGACAGTGGGATATGCAGTTTATACAATAATCTGATTTATACTGCCCTGTGCATCTTAAGATTCAAGAGACACCGGTCTTGCAGCCACACATGGATTGGACGTCACTAAATTTCATCCCACTTAACAACCAGTCACTAAACACCTGGTCAGGTTTGGGACTTCCTTCTGCTGTCAACATGCCCTGGGAAAGGCCACCAGCTGGAAGAGTATGTCATTAAGCACTTGTTCTTTTTAATTTGTTCTTTTTTGTCCCATTCTGCCGTGTTCCTTTTCTGCCATATCCATTTTTTGTGTTGTCCATTTGTTGTCATGCTTGGTGACAACAAATGAAATTTATAGCCAAATACAGGATTGTCATAATTCAGTGAATGTGAGTATTTCATCTTGACATTTGATGATAAATGTCCAGGGCATCCCCTCTCTGTACAATAGCAAATCTGGAACAAAAATAATTTGTCAAATTTGAACCCAGGAAAACTGGTCCTGTGTCCTGACTATTCAGCCTGGACAAATGTTTTATTTCAGAAAAATTCCATGAGAGGCTATTTAAAAAGGCAGTAAAAACATTAGTAATGTGCCCAGGTTCACAAGGGCAGATTAACTCCATCTTTTTAAGAGTAGAGAATTATGACACCCTCAACCAGGGACTGTACATGACTGCCCAGGACAGCACTGCACATCTTGACTAGCTGGCCTAGTGATACCACTAAGCTGAAAAAACTTTAAATGGACAAGATTTGCAGCAGTAAAAAAAATCTTTCTGCCTTCCTGAGTTATGCTGTTTGGAGTGACTTTTAGCTGTGCTGGAAAATGGGTCAATCTTTCTGTACAAGCCACAAGCCTATTAAGGAGCTTTGCTATCAAGACCCCACTTGCAATGGACACATTGGTGGTGTGAAGACTGACCCCACAGCTCATGTAGGAAAGACAGATCTTCATTTGTTCAAGCAATTAATCTCTAGTCCAGAACAACCAAAAATGTCAAGATCATTAAGGTGAGAAAGAGTGTGTGGATTTATAAAAAGGAGTTTTCAAGATAATTGACAATCTTCTTTACAGAAGGCTTGGGTTGTTCAAGCAAGCAAAACGGGCTCCGAGAGCAGGGGATGCAGAAGTGCAGGCAGGGATGGAGGCTGGCCAAGCATTGGCTCTCAGAGTTTAGAGCTGGCCTTTCAGCAGATGAGGAGAAGGGAAAGGCAGGTCCACCAGACACATGTGGACCATGGAACATGTGAGGCAGTTTTCCAGAGCTGGTTTCCTCAGCCAATATCTTAGTAGCCAATGTTGTCTTAATAGCCCACACCACCTTCATCAATGACCTGAGTAAGGGCTGCAGGATTTAGATATCCAGGTCATGACTGACTTATGAGAAAAGATATTATGCTTCCAAAGGTTTCTTGCAGCTGCCACTTCTTTAACTAAATTTTGTCTACTGAACTGTGATGGCTCAATTTAAATTTATCATTGTTTAGCACTGAAAAACTGAATTTGACATCTGCACAGCAGTGTCATCTTCACAACTTTACAATCTGTATATATAAGTAGTATGCAAAACACCACTATGAATCTGAGAAAAATGTTTTTATTTTCCCAGAGATCTGAGCCATGTCAAAGGTAAATCCAAATTCCCAGTCCCTGGAGTCACACTCAATGAGACATCAGTGCTACATTAGGGACAGCGTACACTTCACAAAATATTATGCTGTCAGAGTTAAAAGAGATTTACTTCAGAACAATTTTATGAGTGTACAAAGCTACTATATATGACTTTTGCAATGAGTTTATACTATTGTTACTAATCTGTATTGCTTGAGTTTAGTGGTTTTTCAGTACAGAAACTGTACTCCTGTAGGGAGAACACAGAGAAGATGCTGGATTCCTAATATTTAGAACAAGAATGGACTGCTAGACTGGGTTTGGTTTTTTTTCATTACTTCCCGTTACAACTGTAACTTCTGTTTGACAAAAAGTTAGCTGTACTCAGCTGAAGTATTTTTCAAAAAGGTGAAAAGCATTAATACACAGTTATCAGGAGACAAAAAATATATTGTCTCTCTAGACTATCCAATCAACAGTCACCTTCAGCACAAAAATATGTGTATCCAGTCAATCATTTGGATGTATCTGATTCCAGATTTTGGCAATTGGTCTTTATCCTTAGATCCTAGCATCTGTCTCTGGGACTGTTGGCATATTTTGTATTAAATAGATTCAGAAATACATCAGCCTTAAGCTGTTCTAAAGCCACCAGATTTGGTATTTGTGCTCCTTTTCTCTTTGCCTTTGACTTTACACATCTCTGAAGCTTCACTTTAAGCTCCTCACACCCAATCCCACTAATATCTGTAAACTGATGATAGGATATTCCCTTTGAGGGAATTTTGACTAATCTCAAGTAAATAAGCTTCAATTCCTGTCAGTGTGAGTAGGGAGGCACTGGAGTAGATATTTTGGCAAAGAATCAGCTTCTCTAAGAAAATCTTCTTGCGTAGAAATGGCCTTAGTTGGCACTTTCACTTTTTTTAAGAATGCTCATAATGAAATCTCACCTTTTCTGGTTATTGCTGTATGATGGGGAGTTTCCATGGTGATCAAATAAAGTTTAATTAAAATGCAGAAATCTTGACACTGCATTGCCTGGCTCAGTTTTATGACACTCACAATGCCTCTTAGCTTCAACAAAATAATGCTGCAAGTAATTAGTGACAAGTGGAAGATCTCAACACTACTTCATCATTATCAGTTCTCCTGGAACAACTCATTTTTTGAAAAATTATTCTGCAGAACACACTGGCATTTCTAAAGGAAAAATGAAAGAAAATAAAGTTTTAAGAATTGTAAATATATTAAAAGGAAGTGTTTTCATGTCAAGGTCTCAGCTATTGTGAGTTTTGCACTGAAGAGCTGACTGAATAGAATTTGCCAATATTTTTTAAAGCCTCGTAAGTGTTACTTTAACAAAAAACAAACAAACAAAAAAAAACCAAAAAACAAAAAAGGCAAATCTTTATTTATTATGTGGCATATGCTTGTGAAAAATGCATGTATTTTATATTGGCTTTTTGCAAATATTAAAATGAATATTATACGTGTTGTGTTAGAAAGTAATGCTGTATTAATTCTCTTAAGTACTGTGTTAAATATAGTTTTAGGTTACAAAAATTGTTAAAAGAGAAACTATGCTATGTAAGATGTTTTGTTTAAAAGAAAGGACTTGCAGCACGATAGCAGCCACAGGACACCTAAATCTTTCAGAGAAAAAGAATTTATTGCCTTCTTATCAGAAGAAATGAACTTCTTCCCACCTCGAAGGCGCTGATAGGATTTGGAGGAAGAAGTTGACGATGACCAGACAGAATCCTGTATTTGAATGGAATTTATGCATCATGTATGCAGTGTATGACTATGCAACAGGCTATTGCTTTTAAGGGTTAATCCTTTGTTAACAGGTGTCCTTTTTTGGGCTCGTGCTGCCCAGAAAAAGGTACCCGGACGTCCATAACTCTTGGTATTTGTTGTCTCATATTGTCCTAATTCAATTTGTCCAAATTGTTATTATTCTAATTGTGTTACTATTTTTTTAAATCATTTTATTGCTAGTAAACTTTTAAAAGTTTTAAAAACAAGTGATTGGCATTTTTCACATGCTTAACTTGTTTGCTTCCAGATTGCATTGGCAAAGTTAGAGTAGTATTTTCAGAGCCTGAGTCCTGCCCCTGAGGCCAACAGAGTTAACTCCTGATCCTGCACAGAACTACCCCCAAGAATCACACCAGGGGCCTGAGAGCATTTCCAAACGCTTCTTGAGCTCTGTCAGGCTTGGAGCTGGGACCACTGTCCTGGGGAGCCTGTTCCAGTGACCAACCACCCTTTTCCTAATGGAGGAGAATCTTTTCCTAATGTGTAACCTAAACCTCCCCTGACACAGACTCAGGCCGTTCCCACAAGTTCTGTCACTGGAATCTGAGAAGAAGTGAGAGCCTGCCCCTCCACTTCCCCTCCTGAGGAAGCTGAGGCTGCTGTGGTGTCTCCCCTCAGCCTCTTCTTTAGACTACATGAGCCAAGTATCCTCAGCTGCTTCTTGTAACTGACAGCTTATTGACTGTGATTTTTAGATATTTTCTTTTGCAGCTAAAGCTGTTCAAATGTTCCATGTACCTCACAATGACACGGAATAATATCACATGGAATAAGATATTCCAGGTTGGTATCTACTACTCCTCTGCCAGAGGTTTTTTCTTCCTTCAGCCCCCTCAGAATCAACAAAAGCAGAGCAGTATCCACTTGTCTGTTGCCACACTTCCCAGAGTTCATTAACCTCACCTTGTTGTCAGGCTGAGGGACATGGAGTATTACATGCACATGCCTGCTTCTACTCATCAGAGCAAAGGAAAGTAAACCAAGGTTCATAATTCCTTACATTTTCCTGCCACAAATTGTCCTGATTTTTTTCTGAATGTTTTCTTATTCTCCCAGTTAAAACAGTGCATCATACAGAGATACAGC